GGCGACGTCTTGAAGACAAGCCTCTTAGGGCTAGCACGACTCCCAACTGGTTTGTTGTTAAGGTCGTGCAGCCTAGACTGCGTCTCTCTTCTATTCAGAACTTCCAACTCGCCAGGCAGAGGATGATGTGTCCCTTGAGCATGTGAGCAGGCATTAGACACAGGATCTCCCCTGGTCATCTTCCTGCCCCCAGCATTATGGACCTGTGTATTCTGTTAACCCACACTGTCTTGCTAGCATTTCAAAATTGGGGCTAATCTTCCTCTTCCATATAGATCTTCCTTCCTAGCTTCCTTGTAGACATGTGCGGGCCAAAACGTTCCTTGCGAGGTGGGGGATCAAAAACGCATTCCCTTTTGGAATGCCCCACGCGACCACAGTGGTAGCAGAAGGTCGGTAAAAATTCATATTTGAGATTCACCCAGAAGCTGCCGAGCTCTTCACTAACCGCCATGAATTGAGACCGGAGAGGCTTGGTAAAACCAATGAGAGCGTGCACTTTCACAAAGCACTCATTCGTATCTTTGGACGCGAAGACATTGGCTTCCAAGACTTGACCAATGGTCCCAACTGCCACTTTCCGGCCGAACTGCTTGTTGCAGCAGTCATCTTTCACATTCCAGAGCTGAACTTGAAAGGGAATAATGGCCAAATCATCAAAAGTCAGCCTCGAGATGGATGGTGTCCAGGAATGGAGATGGAAAATCCTATCTTTCACAATCCAGGGTGTTCTTTTTAGAATTTAAACTCTTGTCTCATCACTTGGAAGGACAATCTCAAATAGGCCAAATTTAGTGGCCGAAAGCCTAAGGTTTCCTTTTATCCGCCAAGTATCAATCAAGCCCTCCCTTAGCTCCATAGGGGTAAAAATAGTTTCCAAAAATAACCTCCCCGGAAGGGTCTTCGAAGTTTGAAACTTCACGGATTGGACCTCCTCAAGAGAGAACTCGACCACCTGATCCTCCGCTATACGCGACATCGTACTCGCCTGTGACAAGGGAATAGACAGTGCATTAGTTGTACAAGAGTTTCCCACAGCAGTTTTTGCCACTATAGCTGGTGGCGGAAGACACCGCGGAGGATAGTTGACTTCTGCCAGCAGCAGGGCAGAGCACTTAATTACAAGTGGTCGAGGAAAGGTTTGGGGAAGATTCCCACTACTTGACGGAAAGAGCGGAGAAGCGCGTCGCAGAAGAGGGGAAGCAGCGATGGGCTCTTTTCCACCGATCGTGAGACACCAAGCGAGGCACTGTGCCTGGGTGTCGACGGGGGAGGCCAATTTATAAGAAAAAAAATCCCCCTTCCCCATGAGAAGCCGTGTTTCCCTATACCTTCCGTCTCGTAGAGTCCTAGTCGGAGTAGAAGACTGCTGTTGGGACTTTGAGATTTTGATTTCCATCCGGATACGGCTCCTGCGGATCCCACCAGTTAGAGCTGGAAAATCGGAGGAAAAAACTCCCGTACCCACCCAGCACAACCGCGTTCTCAGCCACCTACACTGAACGACGGCGCCATCTGCCTGGACGAGTGTCACGTCGCCGGCGTTACTGGGATTTTTTGGCTTGTTCTGTATCTCCACCCTCCCCTTTCGTGGCAGCCCACAGAGATACTCATCCCTTAAGGGATCGTCCCGAGGACCTTGATTATTGGGATATTCGCTCTCGAAAAACTTGACAAATTCACCAGCGAAACAGGGTATCTTAATCCTGGTTTGCGCACTTCTTGGCAGCACCGGAGAACTCCCGGCCCCTAAGGGCGTAGCTTGAGCGAATCGATCGAGTCGTTCATAAGGCTTGTGGACCTCAATTTGATTTCTTGTAGTCCGAATTTTATACCCTGCGAGCGAGGGCAGATCAAAATCGGCATCATCCAATTCTGAAGAGTGGGGAAGCCAGAACCGCCATTGATTCAGGGGCCTGCTTCTACATCTCTTTGTAGGATGGTCATCTTTAATAGTAGTTTCAGCCAAAGCAGTCTGAAATGAGCGCTTCTTCCGGCGGATCAACCGTGCTTTGCGTCGGCCAATTTGTTGGGGAGCTCTTCTTGAAAAGCGATTCTCAGTATCTGAGAAACAACCCTCTAGATGGCTGGTGATTTCGGTCTCTCGCAATCCCTTCGGCTTGCGATACCAGTCGCTTTGATTTTGCAGACTGGCCGCGAAAATGACAACGAAGGCCTTCAAGAACCACCGTCCAAGCAGCGAACAGAGAAGGAGGAGAGAGGAGAGAGCGCCTCTCATTCTCCTTTTTTTTTTTAGTGATAGCTTTTAACCAAATGTTCATCCAAAAGAGTACGGAAAGTGGCATTCTTATGACATATAGGGATGACAAACTTGAAAATACTCGTAATGACGGATATTCTTCCAAATCCGGCTCGATTGTCTAGAGTAAAACTCGATCAAAATAAAATGTCTTATAGTATGGGAAAACTTGAACTCGAATATTATGGATAATGAGTAGGTATGATTTTCTCACTATTCAATTCGAACCCTTCCCAATGCATACACAATATTTTGTATAAATTGTCAATTTTTATTTTAACATAATTCGCTATTCCTAGTATATTTGTAGCATCATGAACTAGTGTTTATTTTTATTATTTCTATTAATATTGGTGATTTGTTATTGATAAATTCTCATTTTAGTGATGTTAATATGTTTGTGATTACTTATTAGTAACACGACAGTTGATCTTGGTTGTGTGTTTAGTGGTATATATTTAATATCCATGAACACATTTCCCGTCATTTATTTGAAGTAAATTAACTGCGAAGTGATAATGATATATGTTCTTCCACATAATTTTGTTTCCTATTCTCCACTTGGAAAAGAGTTGTCTGACAATTAGTTTTTACAATTAACGAAACAAACAGGAATTTAGTAATGGTCAGTTAAAATGAGGCAGTATATGATACATGAGTCGCTAAAAATTGGATTGACAATGGTGAGTGGTAGGTGCAGAGTTTTGGACACTCTACACGTGTTATGTTTTTCATATATGTTCTACTCAATTCAATTTATTCATAGTTTGACATTTAATCTCTGAAAGTAACATATAAAAAGATTTATTATCTTACGATGTTTAGATATATTTGATAATTGCTTCCACGAGAGCTACCATATATCCATTTGGAAAACAGTTGGTAAATCATTAATTTTTTATTTAAACAGCCGAAACAAACTGCTGACCTGTAAAGTGCGTAAATCAGCTAGATTTGATTGGGATAGAAGGCGTTACATGATTGATAGATGTCTCATGTGTTTCATAATTTACTTGCATAACTATTTTCTAATGTGATCTTGGATGGTGACCCAAAACTATTTTCATTGAAGCTCAAAGAAGGCATCAAGCCATGAGAAGAAGAAGCTGGAAATTGGCCAAGTCTGGAGGCAGTTCCATGGTACCTACTTTGGAGGGTTGTATTTTTATCATGGGGGCTTATGAATGGAATCCATTGCTTGGAAGTTGTAGTATTACACTTGCTGAAAATATACAATGGATGGTTTAAAGGAGATCAAGTTTCCTGGGTCTCCATTGAAGCTGTTGAAGATCGCATGGACACATATTGGAAACAGAAGACTGCCCAAAATTTGGCCAAGGCAGAAATTGTGTTCAGGGTACCTACTTTGAACCCTTATCCGTTTTGTTTGGGACACATCAGAGGAAAGATAGAAGTTGGAGATGAAAATAGGAGACTTGTTAAACAAATTGAAGGAGTTGGTTTATCCAATTGAAGCTTCCAGAACGTTGGACAAAGGGTCTGAAGTTGCTATAGAGGTCTGTTTTACTACTTGCCCCAAGACAGATTTCTTAGTTAGGAAGAAACTTGTTTTGGCAGAGTTTTGTTACCTTTTTTGCTAGGATTATTTTACCATTTCAGTGCTTTAGTTAGCTTTAGTTTCCTCGTTAGGTTGGTAGTCGAATCAGAGTTATGTAAATTCTATTTAAGCATCCAAAACCCAAGCAGATTTTAGAGAATAAGAATGACTTGTTCTTAGAGTTTTGCTCAAGAATTTGCTCTTGTAGTTGGTGGATCTCCAATTTCGGAGTGTGCTTCGTATCAATCAAGAGTTGCACTTGATTGTGGTCGAGTTTCGACTTGATATTGTTCGAGCCTTTTTCCAGGTGTGGAATTGCACGACAATCTATTTTCCGTTCTGATGAGGCAAGAGAGGATTCTAATGGTGGGGTTGATGACAAAGGGAATGGAGAAGATCGTGTATCTGAACATGTTGGAGATGGGGCTAAGAGGGCACACGGTGAAGATGGTGGAAATGAGCCAGAGGGTGAAGAAGATATCATGAAGATGAAGAAGAGGAAGGACATAGATTCTGGGAAGATAGGAGAAAATGGTGTGAAGAGGAAGAAGAGGAAGGTTGCAGTTCAACCAATGCATCTCCCTCGCCGCAGTGCACCTGCAAAGAGTGCTCACGTGGAAGAAGCTAGCAGAACTGCAGAAGAGGTTGATGCACAACCAAATCAGCTGGAAACTTGTTTGGAACCTGGCTTGGGAACTGCAACTGCAAATCTAGAGCCTGTGGAGGTGGAAACCCAAACTGGAAAACAGAACATGAATCCAGAACCAGGAACAAGCACCACAAATGATGTTGCTGATGTGCCACATACCTACATCCCCTCCGGAGGATAGACCAACGGGTAGGAAACTGCTTCCGGGCTCTCCACCAAAGAAGCCTATTTACCCCAGCCTGCGTCAGAGGAAGAAGAAGAGGAAGTGGTCAGTAGAGGAGGAGACTGCTTTGTACAATGGAGTACAACAATTTGGCGTCGGCTCTTGGAAGGATATTCTCAGTTTCCGCCGCCAGAGCTTCAACAATGGAAATATATATATATATATATATATATATATATATATATTCACTTTGTGTGGTCTTTAACTTCTCATTCTGTCTCTTTTGTTCTCAATTTGTGTGTGTTCATGGTTCACTTCTTCATCTATTCTCTTGAGGTTTTCTCCTGGTTTGTTTATTATCAGTTCAGCAATGGCGGCTTCCATCTTCAGAAATGCAGGACAGATTCTCCTCCCTGTGAAGTTCGCCATTTCAAGAAGGTTATGCCTTGCTTCTCAGTCTCCTCCCCAGCTCCATGGATTCTCCAACTTGGACTCCCTCGTTTCCGCTGTAATCACTGCGGTAACCTCCTGTGCATCTATCTCCAACTGCCGTTCGATTCATTGCAAGGTGATGAAATCACTGAGTTTCAGCCATGGGTTCATCGGGGATCAGTTGGTCTCCGCTTACTTAAGGTTGGGTTTCACAAAAGATGCATGCAACATGTTCGATGAATTGCCTGACAGAGACTTGGTCTCGTGGAATTCCTTCATATCCGGGTTCTCGCGCAGAGGGGATCTCAGTAACTGCTTGAACGCCTTCTCAGCCATGAAGCTTGAAACAGGAGTCGAAGCAAATGAAGGTACGATCGTTCCATTAATATCCGCATGCACTGAGACGAGAGCTCTGGATATTGGTACATACATTCATGGATTCATCCTGAAGTTTGGAATGCTTCTCGAGCTCAGAATTGCTAACGTTCTGATTAACATGTATGGGAAGTCTGGCTATTTAGATGGTGCAAGTGGATTGTTCGAGGCAATCCCAATTCCAAATTTGGTCTCCTGGAACTCCATAATTGCAGTTCATGTCCAAACGGGAAAGCCAGAGGAAGGAATTGGGTACTTTATTCGTTCACGAAGAGCAGGGATCAAACCAGATCAAGGCACTCTAATCACAACACTTGAAGCATGCGAAGAACTCGGTTCAGCCAAGCTGGCAGAGGCTATCCATGGCTTCCTCTTCATTACAGGTCTTGACTCGAACCTAACTCTAGCTACTGGATTATTGAGCTTGTATTCCAAACTTGGTTCATTGGTCGCTTCACAGAAGGTTTTCGGCCATATTAGAAATCCTGATTCCATAGCATGGACTGCCATGCTCGCAAGCTATGGAGTTCACGGGAAAGGGAAAGAAGCTGTGAAAACTTTCAAGCTGATGGTAAAAGAAGGTGTAGCTCCTGATCATGTCACTTTCACTCACTTGTTGAACGCTTGCAGCCATGCAGGTCTTCTGAAAGAAGGTAAGGCCTACTTCGAGGTTATGACATTGATCTATGGGGTCGAACCAAGGGTCGACCACTACTCGTGCATGGTTGATCTCATGGGTCGAGCCGGACTTCTTAGTGATGCTTACAAGCTCATTATAAGTATGCCAATGAAGCCAAACTCTGGCGTCTGGGGAGCTCTAATGGGTGCCTGCAAGAAGCACAACAATATCGAACTTGGGAAGGAAGCGTTCGATAATATGCTCGCTTTGGAACCTTTGGACTCGAGAAACTACCTCTCTTTATCAAATATGTACTCTTCTGCTGGTCTACGGAAGGAAGCCTCCGAAGTGAGGGGATTGATGAAGAAGAGAAGTGTCATTCGAATCCCCGGTTCAAGTTGCATCGAGCATGAGAAGCGAATCCACCGGTTTGTCTCGGGCGATCGGTCTCATCCTTTGGAGGAAGAGATATCAAAGAAGTTGGAGGAGCTTGTAAAGAAGGTTAGAGGAAGTGGGGCTTGGGCAAGAACAGAGTTCGTTCTGCAAGATGTTGATGATGAGGAGGTGAGAGAGGATATGATCAACAAGCATAGCGAGAAGCTAGCCATTGCATTTGGTCTTATGGTGAGTGCCAATCTAAGAATGCCTCTGGTCATCACCAAGAACCTCAGGATATGCGGGGACTGTCATGAATTCGCAAAGGTCGTGTCGAGGCTCGAGGGTCGCGAGATCATCATTCGAGACACGAAGCGGTTTCATCATTTCTCCAATGGATCGTGTTCGTGCAGAGACTACTGGTGACAAGACTCCCTGCTTTCTGACTTAAAGTCATCAGGAGAGGAATTTCAAGAAAGGAAGTACTTCTTGTTGGCATCAACTTGACAATGGCAGAATTTCTTGATGGCCAAGACAAGAATCAAATCAAGGTGAAAAATCAGTGGATGCCCAAAAACAGTTAAGGCAAGTTTTCGGGTCAAAAGAAGAAAGAATAAGAACTTGCCATGCTTGAAGATTGCAAGGGAATTCAAATTCTCAACAGCTACATTGCAGCCTATAAAAGGCGATTTGAAGGAAGAACAAAATTAACCTTTCAAGAGATCAAAGCTAGCTAAGCCAAAAAGGAATTTTGTGAGAATAGCTAGAGTGATAGGAAAGGGGTTTCTCAAAGGGTTCGGGGAGAATTGCTTTGAGGGTTAGTGTTGGGGAAACACTGGTTTCGAGTTGCTGGGGAAGCAATTCGGGTTTGAGAAAAGAGAGTTAGATCTATCGGGTAGAGATTGATCAAAGGGCTCTTGGGTAGATTGCTTGTAACGAAGAACATCAACGCTATATCATAGTGAATCGTCAGAGATCACACAACCGTGATTCTCTGACCGTGGAGTAGTCAGTATAGGGATCCTCATTCTCCCTATACTGGAAACCACGTAAAAATCGTGTGCTGGGTCCTTATTTTGTTTTTCATTTCCCTGTCTGGTTTGTGCTTCTGCTCGTGTCTGTTCCTGACTTGATTTTGCAGGATAGCTCGTTCCAAGAGATTTCAGGAAGACGTCTCGGCTGAACTAAGTTGGGAATTCGCTGAGGCTGGGTTTGTTTTAATTGAGTTCACTTCAGTCTGGGTTTTATTTGCTGCGCTCTTGCTGTTCTTACTCAGTTCCTCGTTCGAACAAAAGCAGGGGGCTTTTGATCGAAAAGTGGATATTGGGTTGCCATATCTATATTGTTTGTAAAACACAGTCGTTTACTTTCATTCATTTAGCTGCTGGGTCGGATCAAGAAATTAACCGGGGCTGGGCTTTTGGGTCTCATTAAAAGTCGGCTAAATCTAGGCTTTAGGGATTACAAGCCCAGGAAAGTAATTCAGGCTCTGCATGTGGGCTTGAAGTACTCAGGCCCATTGGTTTTAAGAACCCGTGAGTTTGCTTGTGTAGTAATAGGATTTGTTACTCCAAGTGAGTTGGGGGTTTTATTTGTTTTGACATTGTCTCAGACTAAGTGAGAGTTAAATTAGTTAGGTTGAAAAATAAATTAGGGTTCATTATCTTACTAACTCTGGTTTCGTGAGTAAGATCGTTTAAAAGCAGGTATAAAAGTCTCGCGCTCGACGCAATCAACACTTGGTATCAGAGCACGGTCACCGTAGAACAAGGTTCAACGACCTCCGGTGCGAATCAAAATGGCGTCGGGTTCCAAGAATAATGCTCCACTCTATTTGGCTGACGGATTCTCTCAAAATCGGCCTCCCAGGTTTGAAGGAGTTAATTATGGATATTGGAAAAATCGTATGGAATTATTTGTTGGATCCACAGATCCAAAACTCTGGGCTAGAGTAATCAAGGGTCCGTATGAGCTCAAGGAGGATCAAGAAAAATGGACAGACGAGGATTTTGAAAAATTTCAGCAAAACTGCAAGGCAACTAATCTCATGTACTGTGCACTCGGTCCAGAAGAATATCACAAAGTTGCCGGTTGCAAGACTGCTAAGGAAATCTGGGATAAACTCCAGGTTACTTATGAAGGTACCTCTCAAGTTAAAACTTCTCGAATTAATTCCTTAAAACAGCAATTCGAGTTGTTCAAAATGGAAGAAGGAGAGACGATCCGGCAAATGTACGAGCGCTTCACAAACATTGTGAACAGTCTGGAGAATCTTGGAAAATCATATGAAAGTGGAGATCTTGTTCGAAAAATCTTATGGAGTCTCCCAGAGCAATGGACTCCAAAGGTAACTGCAATAGAGGAAGCTAAAGACCTAGAGAAGTTAGCTATTGATGAACTCATCGGGTCATTAGCAACTCATGAAGACAAGCTCAACAAGGGAAATAATGATAAAGGAAAAAAAGGGATAGCCTTCAAGGCTACCACATACAATGAAGACACAGAAGATCTCGATGATATGGAGGATGAAGAATTGGCTCTACTAAGCAAACAAATTAGTAGACTACTTCGAGTGAGAAGAGAAAAACGAAGAGGAAACTTCATCAACAAGAATAGAGAAGTTGAGAAAGAAGGTGGTACATCAAAATATCCTCAATCAAGAACTTTCCACAAAAACAGGACTGAACAATTTCAGCCGGTTAAAGTTCAAAACACTACCGGATGCTTTAGATGTGGAAAAACTGGGCATATCAAGGCTGAATGCCCTCTAGCAAGAAAAGAACGAGCCATGGCTGCAACTTGGAGCTGTAGCGAAGAAGAAGATGAGGATGGAGAGGAAACAAGAGAAGAAAGCTACATGGCAATTGATGTTGAAGAGCCATCAGAGAGACGTAACTCAAACGAGGTAAAACCTTCCAACCATACTCATTTTAGTGACAGTGATTACTATAGTGATGATGATCTATTAGTATCCACTATCAAGGAAATTCAGTTAGAGTTTGGAAATGTTAAAGTAAAATACTCTAAACTGAAATCTGATTATGCCAAAATAAACATAGAAAATGATGAACTAAAGAAGGAGGCTATCAGATTAAAAGAAGAGTTAGATGAAACTGCTAAGAAAGTTGAAGTTTTAGAAAATGAGAAATCGAGTCTCACGGCAAAACTTCAAGTATCATTAGAAGGGAATAAGATTGAATCTCTGAAAAAGGAAGGTAAATCTTGCCTAAATCATTCCACCAAGGGAAGTTGTGAAAAATTAGGATCAAATTTGTGTAGCAAAGGTAAGTCGAAGACTTTTGAAGAAGCAATAAAGCATGAGAGGAATGGAACTTCAAATCAAAGATATAGAAACATAGAATGTTTTTATTGTCATAAATTTGGGCACATTAGGCGAGTATGCAGGAAGAGAATACAAAATGAAAAATATAGAACTTGTTTCACTTGTCATCAAGTCGGTCATATTAGTAGATTTTGTTCTCTTAAAGATCACAAACAAACTGTATCCAAGAAAGTCTGGATACAAAAACCCAAAACTGCATGACTGCTAATGGCGCAGGTTTGCTTCCAAGTGAGCATGGAGGCAACTGAATGGATACTAGACAGTGGATGCTCACACCACATGACGGGAAATCGAGACCTATTCACCACACTCAAAGAAGGTAAAGGTGGTAAGGTATTTTTTGGTGACAATAATTCTGCCGACATAATAGGAAGAGGAACAGTTGGTTCAGATCCATGCATTGAAAATGTGATGTTAGTAAAAGGTCTTAAGCATAATCTGTTTTCGATCAGTCAAATGTGTGGCAAAGATAAGAGGATAATGTTTGAACATGACTGTTGCTACATCGAGTCATTGGTGGATAAGAAAGTGCTTTTCACCGGTAGACGTAAGAATAAGTTATATGTCATAAATCTAGATGATAAAGAAAGTTTTAAGGTAACATGTCTAATGTCTTTAGAGAAAAATGATCAAATAGATTGGCATAGGAAGCTTGGACATGTGAGTATAGGAATTCTGTCTAAACTAAGTGATCTTGAGCTAGTTAGAGGTCTGCCTAAGTTAAAAGGCAAAAAGGAATTCTTTTGTGATGCTTGTGCCAAAGGAAAGCATACAAGGTCAAGCTTCAAGAGTAAGTCGGTAATTTCTACATCGAGACCACTTGAACTACTTCACCTAGATCTCTTCGGACCTACCAATGTGGTAAGCTATGGAGGTAAGTCTTATGCTTTCGTAATTGTGGATGATTATTCTCGTTACACTTGGGTATTGTTTCTAGCTAGCAAAAGTGAAGCTTTTCAAAATTTTGAGTCTCTAACTAGGAAATTGGAAAATGAAAAGCAATCTAAGGTTGCTAGCATTAGAAGTGATCATGGTGGAGAATTTATCTCAGAAGAGTTTGAACTCTTTTGCCATAAGCTAGGAATAAGTCACAATTTTTCTGCTCCTCGAACTCCGCAACAAAATGGAGTGGTGGAAAGGAAAAATCGGACTTTGATCGACATAGCTCGAACAATGTTACATGACTATGGTTTGCCTAAGTACTTCTGGGCTGAAGCCATAAACACTGCATGCTATGTTACTAATCGAGCTTTGATCAGATCTGGTATTAAGAAGACTCCTTATGAGATTTGGAGAGGAAGAAAACCCAATCTGAGTTACTTCCATCCCTTTGGTTGCAAGTGCTTTGCATTAAACACCAAAGATCATCTTGGGAAGTTTGATGCCAAGTCCGATGAATGTGTATTCTTAGGCTATTCCATGTCTAGCATAGCATATAGAATTTTCAACAAAAGGACTCTCAAAGTGGAAGAGTCCATAAATGTGATATTTGATGAATCTGCTAATGAGTGTTCAGATGAGATAGATGATGATGATTTTGGACTTGGTGGGAGCTATGATCCACCAAGGACATCAAACACGGAGAAATCTGAACCCAGAACAATCGCATCTGAAGACCAAGAGAAAGCAGCAAGTACTACAAACTCTACGATCGAACAAGACCATGAAGTAAGACAACCTCCTCCTCATATTACCAAACGTCATCCTTCTTCACTTATGATAGGAGGGCTTAATGAAGGTATGGTCACTCGCTCTAAGAATTCAATTGTGCATACTGCTTTTGTGTCATTGGTTGAACCTAAAAACGTGTTAGATGCATTGAATGATGAAAACTGGAATGCTGCTATGAATGAAGAAATGGGTCAGTTTGAACGAGCTAATGTGTGGGAGTTGGTACCCAGACCACCTAATAGAGTTATTATCGGGACTAAGTGGATTTATAAGATCAAGTCTAATGAAAATGGGGTAGCAACTAGAAACAGGGCTAGGTTAGTGGCTAAAGGGTATAATCAAGAAGAGGGAATAGACTTCGATGAAACCTTTTCCCCGGTTGCCAGATTAGAAGCTATTAGAATGTTATGTG